TTTTTTTTTTTTTTTTTTCTTTTGATTGAATCATCCATTGTTTTTACTGTGCTTTGTTTTTACATCGTTCCATTTTAAAAATATGAATGTATGTGAAGTTAAAACTCTCGACTGTTGTTAAGAACATACTATTTTATTTCTAAAATACTATGAAAAGAATTTACAATTTCTTCGAATTAATTCTCACATTTCATCTTACGTTTGTTATACAGATTCAAAAGTTTCGAAAAACTTTGTTCAAATCGAATTGGTCTTCTAACTTATACACGAATTGTCTATATCAAGCACACTTTGTGAATACTATCCACGAGTTTCAAAAGTCCACATTATTAAATTTCGAAGCAAATGATGGAACGGAATATCGATTTTTCTTAAATTGTTAAAGAATATTTAAAAATTCTTTAAAGGTTCGAAAATTAAAAAGAAAAAATGAAATTATGATATTATGAACGTAACAAAATTAATATTGACATTTTAACATTTTAATCTAACGTAAATAACAAAATTAGCAGAGAGCTGGATGTGAAAGTTACAACTGAAGAATGAAAAATAATTTTAAACTTTTTGGACGATAATATATACTTCTGTCCAAAATTATTAATATTTTTCAAGAATTAAAAAAAAAAAAACAATCAGAGTAGGATACAGATTGAAAACTTTTCAAATATAAAATTTATTAAAATTAAAACTGCTTATAACATTTTAAATTTGGATAAATAACAAAATTAACAAAGAGTAGTGAATATATAATTAGAAAAGTGATTTCAAACTTTTAACCAGTAGTTTTTGCAATAGCAAAACTTTATAATAGAGATGTATTCAACGTTATTTGATTTATTTGATTTCGTATAAAGAATAATAATTAGAAACAATTTTGCATATTATTTTTACTCCAGATTATTTTATCTTCTATTTTTTTATATTTTAATCAGCTGTGGAAGTTCATAATTTAAAATATCACACGTGTGATATCAAAAATACTTTGAGGTTCAAACGAAGCAACAAAGAGAAGGAAAGAGAGTTCATAGTTCACGAACAGTATGCTAATATTTTTATATCGACACTCTCATAATTGAAACTCCATCTCATATGAATTTACTGATCTTCGTTTAATATTAATGTATACATCTAGAAATCCAAGAATATTTCAGAATCTTACAGTTTTCCTTCCAAGGCAACTTGGAATCTATCTCTCTTGAGTATACACGTCTACGGAAATTTTATTTTATTTTCCTCTTGCTCCTGTCTATATTTTATATTCTTCTCCATATTTTTCCCTTATTATTATCGTTATATATTTTCTTTATCCTTGATATTTTATTACGTCTTAAATTTCTTTTTTTAATCCCCTTTTTTAATTATTAAGATTTTTTATTTATTAAATTTTTATTTCTTATCTCACATATTGTTTTCTCTTTTATAGAAAGTAAAACAGAATTGATAGAATAGAATTATTTCTATAAATTTATCCAAGTATCAATTTCATCACGATAATATGTATCTCAAAAGGATCGATGGAAAATTCTATGATATATACGGATTATATATATCTTCACATTGATCCATCGATAGATCGCGCCATTCGTGGAAATTGAAAAGTAGTTTTAAAACTTTTAGAACGTTCAGATATATAGATAGTCGATAGAAACGATTTTAGATAAAATGGCCATAAATTGACCATATATAATAGATAAATTTATCGATTTCAAATTTTATTCCGTTATCGCGATATACATTATCCAGTTTTTCATTATTTTTCTTGATATGATGAATTGATAATTAAATTTTTCCAATATTTACTGGAACAAATATAAACAGTTTGGTTTGATTCATCCAGAATGAAAACACACGTTGTGCAAACGTTGTGTTTTTGTGCTATTATTTTAATTTAGAATTTCATTATATCGTGTGAGCTAATATATGTATATTAAGTTTTTCGAAGCAAAAATGAAATCACTATTTCGTTTGTGATGTTTGTATAAATGTTTGTACGAATGTTTGTTGAACGTATACATTTTGTGTAACAAATTTCATTGTTTTTATCCTTTTCTTTCCAGATAAAAAAAACCAACATTCTGCTTTTGTTTCTATCAATTTGAAATCATTATAAAGATTTGTATTTATGTGTTTGTATTTTGTGTTTATTTGTATTTATTATTATACAAAATTTTAATAAACTCGTCCGATATTTAACTTTTGATTTAAGAAAAGAGGCTTTGAATGATCGATTATCTGATATTTGATTATTTTAATTAAAAAGCAGTCTTTCAATACTTGATTAAAAATAAATAAAAAGAGAATTTTTTCGAAAAATGAATGGGAAAAATTTCTAAAAAGTTAATTTTAATAATATTTTACTTACAATTATCATGATAACGTGATAAAACTAATTTATAATGTTATATTCGTACATTTCTTTCATATCAGTATATGTTTGACTATAAAATTTATTTTCCACGCGCGTGGAATAAATATGGATTTTTATATTGACATAGTTCATCGATTTATATGTATATAAATTCGAATAAATAATAATAAAGATATTTTAAATTAAGAAAGAAATGTTTGGACAGCGGAATTGGAATTTTATCTAATTTTGTCTATTTCTCCTGTAGTAGTAATTAAGTAAATATCAGCACGATATTACTTAATTTATTATCTCAAATATTTATATTACGTTTGAGGAATACACAGATAATAAAAATTAAAAAATTAAATCATAAAAACTTTAAATATCGAGTAAAAAGAAATTCGAATAAAAGAAACAAAAACCGCATAAAATGTTGTAAAGATATCGTAAAAATTTCTTTCATGTTTCAGCCATTTGACTACGTATATATCATCGATTGTTATATTTTCTTGTTTAAAAATACATTTGTTCCAAAAAAAATCATTCGTTCCAATTTTGCAAAAGAACATATCGAAATCATTATAACATTATCGTTTATTAATTGGATTATAATTAAAAATTTATCTCCTTAACATCGAAAAACAAATTATGTCACGAAGATTAATATTCATTGTACAGAATATAATTACAAATTAAATGCATGATATAAAAAAAAACCAATATATTTAATTTATAATTATAAATACAATTTAAAATAATTCAAAGTTAAATTAAAAAAGATAATTTTTAATTTTGTAATATTTATAAATATTTAATAAACGTTCGTATCGATTTTTTTTCTTTTCTTTTTTTTTTTAAGTAAAAATAATTATTTTTTTTTTATATTAAAATCATTTAAAATTTAAATATTCCCAA